GGGGGGGGGGGGGGGGAGTCTGCTTTTTCGAAAAGGGTGCTGATTCGATATTTTGTTATAAAAACTTTCAAAGCGCGTAAGACATCAAAATTATCATAAACTTACACATCGCTTTTGGAGGTGTAAACCCTACATTTTAATGATTCTAAAGAAGACCACCTCCATGGAACTCCGCCCTGACAAAACAAAGATACATTAAAATGTAGATACAATGTTTTATCATTTCAAGGTTTTTAAAACTAAAAATTTTCTAACTGTTTATTTGTTTAAGATCTAAACTTCCAACCGCGCACAGCTATTAGGACGCTACCCTACAAAAGCTGGAAAAAGCTTTCTAATAGTAGCTGTTGAAGAGAGTACAGATATGCTGAGTTAAAAAGATTAGTGAAACGATAAGCGTCGACCTCTACATATCTTATAAATGTACTCACATCAGAAGTCTTGGTGTAAATGCCTCTATCTGAAATGTCTCTCGCTAATCCGAAGTCTCCTACTTTTGCTACCTTGTTTTTACCAATGAAAACATTTCTCGCCGCAAGGTCGCGATGAATGTACTGATGAAGAGAAAGACACACGTGTCAACAGATTTATGATTCACACGCAGGCACTTGACGAAATGAAAAGTGGGGGATCAAAAAAGCGACAAGCCTCCATTGCGTGTTCAAAAAAAGCACTGTTTCGCTTTCTCATACTTGCTGTGAATCACACTAGTAAAAGTTAGAGTTCAATGGAAATGCGATGCTCTATTTTCGCTTCCACTGAGTCTATATTAGCTTGTGGTGACTATTAATACCCTTTTCTTGCTTCACTGTGTCACCATCATGAGCAAACTTCTAGCATTTCCTAACATTATCCTGATGTCTTTTTGTGATTATCATTTATTTTCCAGATAGAAGAAAGACTCTGTGAAGTGAACAGCACACAACACAGTGAACTGCCCAAGGCTTGGGCCTTGTCGTCCTGATCTTGTGTCAAACGCCACCACAGGCTTGCTAAAATAAAAGTTCACCCCCAATGAGTAAACTTTATTCTTGGTTAACCTTTGTCGTACCTTTCTTTCTTCCAAATGTTGCATTCCACAGGCCACCTGAAGAGAAACTTGCAACAGCTCTCGCTCAGTTAGCCCACAGTTTAAGTTCTCATATTGGTTTTGCCCCCCATTACGAGGTTTAGACCTCAACAGACTTTCAAGGGTACCTCCAGATACCAGCTCTGTTATTAGCAGAATATTATCTGAGGGTTAAAAACATAGATCTGTTGAACTTCAAACTCGTGAGCCAAATTCGAGTGTTAGTTTCCATAAAACAAACACACTGAAAAACACACTGAAAAACAACGTTTGTTTGTACTTTCCCTGAAGGGATCACAGCTCAATTTGCAAGTACTTAGCTTGTTTTCTGCTTCAAAAAGTGGTTATATTCATCTATTTGATTACAATTGCGTTAATTGTATCTTAGGTATTTGCAATGATGATAAAGGGGAAAACGTAAAGTCCGGTGCAATAAGTACAAGTAGTACTACATTCTGTTGAATGAAAGGAGTCCAGCCAAAAATATATTGTATATCGTATATCGTGACTCAGCGTTTTTCTCCCAGATCGTGCTTGGAAAAAAGGACAAAATACCTTCTTGAGTGCAGGCACCAATAAAACTGACTATGTTTGGATGTCTTCCAGCCTGCTTCAGCATCTTTATTTCATTAAGTAGGTCGTCCTTGTTGCACCTTGAGAACGTAACTAAACCACGTGACAAGATTAAAAATAAATAAATAAAAAATAAGAACGATATATCATATAAACACACAAACAAACTCTTGTTGTTTTAAGGACTGAATCATTGTGGAAATCTAGACATTGTTCCCTTGTGAAGGATTTCCATGAGGTTGTGTTGGAACTAAGGAGTACGCCTCTAAAAAATTGAAACAAAGCTCTGTCTGTTACACGTAAGAACAAACAATAGATATGGAAAATAAGACAAGTCGTTATCAGTTTCTTACCTTTAGACTGTTTCACTGCCACCTCTTTACCACGATAAAGCCCTTTTTTAACGATTCCAAATTCTCCTTTTCCGAGCACTTTATCAAGGATTTTTAGCTCATCCAATTCGATTTGCCAGGTGTTCTTGTTCTCCAGAGGCATCTCGGGAATGCTCTCTCTGCTCTCTGCGCTATTATAACCACTGTCTTTACTTGTTACATTGTCTTGCGTAGTTCCTAAGTTTTCTGCCATTGTCATGCATAAACAGTTCATCTGCTTTTCTGTGCTATCTTTTTTGGCGGGTTTTGGTGGTCTTTCTGGACGGAAATTGTGTGAATCGTTTCGCTCTGAGCTCCACTTTGTACCATGGAAACATTTTTTATTAGGATTCTCAACCCATTTTTCCGTTAACAATGAATACCCGACAGGATTGACCGAGGTACTCGGAGGCAAAGTTTCAGGCTCTATATCTGGTACTAGAGACGTCTCAATATGGTTCGAGTTGTTCGTAGTTTTGCATTCTTCTTGCAAACGTAATGGCGCGGTTGAGCCATGGGATGAGGACCTATCATGCAGTGGTATTACTTCCAAAAGATATTCACTTGCATTGGCAGAAGTAGGACTTTCATTGTTCCTTCTCTAAATCCAAGAAAAAAAAAGTCCTTTTTGATATTAGGTGAGATTTGAAGTTTAAAATGACATTAAACATTTATCTATAGTGATTCTCCTCCAGAAAATTAAGCAAAGAAGCTGTACTTGTACTCTGCCTGGATTTTGACAGTTAGCAGATGTAAGACATTACGCATCTTTTGGCGCTAGGCAAGTGGTGCTTGGAATTGTTAATCTCATTTACATAAGTCTACACATTACTCTTTATCACAAACAGTGATTATCTCAACAAAGTTCTGCCAAGTATGCTTGAAGCGGAGAGGATAAACATAGCTTGGCATCAACATCTGAATTAAGCCGAAATGTCTGAAAACGAAATATTTGTGGAACACCAATTCTCTCATTTTCTAATACTGTCTTTCATGCCTCCGGGTTTGCCCCATCCCCCCTCCCACCGCCCCCTCCTCATCACAATTGTCAAGTAAAAAGTTACACTAGAGGTTGATGACAGATGCACATACAGTATGCTAGTGGGTGCATGTCGGTATGATTTTGCAGATGGAGAGGCGTTCTTCGACAGTACTTTACCGACATTTGCAAGCATGTCAGGGTGTCTTCTGAATAAACAAGAGAAAGAGGACAAGCAGAAAGGGGGGGAGGTAACGAACACCCTTTGACCCCTCCGCCCTAGTCCCTTACGACCTAGCTGTAGTTATCCGCACAAAGAACCCAAGATCAATTGTGTAAAAAAAAATGTTACAAATTCGTTACTCACCCGTCGAGCTCCTCGACGAAACCACAGAAAACTTCCAATGCTTAAAATTACCAAAGCCGAGATGACACTGGGTACCACGACTGCGATCATGCTTTGTTCTGAACTTCCACTGGCGTTTAAAAATTTGCGTGGTTCCGGTGTACTAAAAACTGAAGAGGAATACATAGACGTGCTATACGTCAGTTTTCAAAGTTTCAAATTTGTTTTTCATGCATTTTGTATTACATTTGCTGGATCTGGTTGACAGCTATTAACATTCTTTTATGAAATGAATAGAAGATTTTATGAGAATCAGCTGAAAAGCAAACACACAAAGAAACGAATAATACAACATTATGTTAAGAAATGAACGAAACATTTTACAGGAATCAGTTGAAAAGCAACCACAAACAAACGAATAATACTACATTTTTGCTAAAAAAAATATCTGCTACCCCTTCTGACCCCTAAGAGTGACTTGTGTCTAATTTCTTCTTACAATATTTTTCAAGTCAAACATTAAGATCAAGAGAAGGAATGAAATGATCATCAACTGGAGAAGCCCTTGATTGTTAAACAAATTCTCCTTTTTAGCATCTTAGAAAAGGTATAGAGAACAGTGTTGATAATATGCATACTGATATTAGGGTGTGACGGGTTAAAACAGGTTTTCTTTGCAAATACTTACTAGCAGTTTCTGGAGAGTAATTGGTTCCTCCTCCTTGTGATGTCTCATTTGCAGAATTCTTGTTGCTCACACACTGGCCTTTGCCATAATCACTGCAGTTTTTTGTTGTATTAGGCCCAGGGACAATACCCTGGTAAGTTGGAGCTTCAGTTGTCTCTGCAGGTAGTACATCTAGAGAGGAGGAAGGTGGAGCACTTGACTTTGAGAGTCAGTTTTTAAGATTACTTTTGGTCCACAGCAACCCGCATGCATACCCTTTCAACTACTGACAGCACTATAAGTTAGATAACTTCATTACAGAGTCCACAACATTATCATATCACATACAGCTGTTTTGAGAAAGGTTGGAGGAAAAAACAGTAAAAGTGTGTGTGACAAATTTGAAAGATACTTTTGATAGTTTCAGGTTACAATTTACTGACCTCACCATTTCAGGAAAATGTGAGAAAACATCACTGTAAGGACAAAACACTGTAGGTTTCATGAATTATTTCATATTTCTTTGACTTGTAGAAATGTAAAAAATTATTGATTACTGGATACCCAGAATTTAACTTTCAAGATTGTTTTGTGCTCTTTCAGGTTTTCAAAAAGGTTTCTCAAAAAAGCTGTATACATGTATCGATTGTTAAGGGATGATATATTTAAACTTTCAGCTACTACATTCCTTATCACACCTGTTAAACAAAAAATTATCCTCCTTAAACTCAATTTCAATGTTCTATGAAAATGAGAAATCTGGACCTCCTGTAAAAAACTCAAGACTAGGAGGGAGCAGGGTGTTTAAAAAAAACTTGATGAGAGTTTGTGTCCCAGCTATTGTTCAATGCCTTGCCCCCCCCTCTCTAACACTCTGGTAGACATCAATTTTATTACAGGTGGTTCATATTCCTGAGGAATAACTTAACAGTTAGGTGTTGACTGATGTTTGGTTGACATATTATTATCATTTTGTTTTCTCGGTTCAATTGTTCAGGTTGTTTCTTTAAAGCTTGGCAGTGTTCTTCAATGTCATCCATGTGCTCTGTGTGGTTTAATAACCGATACTTTTATTTATTACTAGTTGGTGATATTCCAATATAATATTACTGCAACTGCTCATTTTATAGATGATTATAATCACACTATTAAAATTAATCTTTCTTACCATCAATATCAATTTCATAGTGTTTAACACTGCAGTGAAGATCAAAAGTATTTGCTTTGCAAGTGTAGTTACCCAGCACCTTTGATGTCAGGGAGTCAATAACCAAAGAACATGTCAGAGAGGTAACTGGTAAACCCATGGAACATTTATGTTTGACCTCATTTCCATTATAAAACCAGTAAATTGAAATTGGCTTGGAATCATACTTGTGCGAATAGACCTCATTTTCCCGTGCAATGCAAGTGACATTGACAGGTTTGCGAAGACGCAATTCACTGGCTGTTATTTCAATGATAGGTTCAGCTTGAGGAGAGGTAAAAAGAAAAAGCAAAAAAGTCAAATTAAATGAAATAAAAAAGGTGAAGAGGCATCTTCCCATAAAAGAAGAGCTTGGATTGTTACAAATATTCATAATTGAGAAAAGAAATATATTTAGAACAATATTGCTTGGGTTATTATTACAGCACACTCTGATCAGTAGAGGATTACATCACATCTTACTATAATCACCTCGCACCAGGTGATTATAGCAGGGTCACTAAATTTCAAAATGGCTGCCTTACATTTTGTCACTGATTTCAAGGAAGTGATAAGCTCAATAGAAGGAAATTCAATTGGGAAGAGCACAAAATATGCTACCACCTTTGGCAGAACACTTTTCAAAAGAAAGATATGAAGTTTTTGCTGATTGAATTACATGAACTTGCTCAAACTTTTTGCTCATCTTGATACAGGTAATCATCACAATTGTGACAAACTATGCACAATGCTTCTTTTTTTTACAGAATTTTCCACAGAATTCAAAAGCACCTGAGCAGATTTTCAAAACTAAAACAATTATGCACTTCAGGCTCAGTGAATATTGTTAAATAATCCCCTTAGCTTTGTCTCAGGGATAATTAAACTGTACTCTCTTTGCCTACGGTGAAAAGTTGTTATTAACCTTTCAAAAAGGGACAGTGTATGCTAATGTATGATGAATATAACACAATGAAAGAAACATTTTTCTTTGCCATTCATAACATAATTTCTCATGTCTAAATAAGGATAAAAACTTACTTTTCCTTGGCTTATAATGACAGACTTGGCACATGATGGAAGGGAAGATTACTGAGGCAGCAGCAACTAATATTAGCACATACTGTGTTGTGCTTTCTACCCATGGTTTGTTGGCTACCATCTCTTGAGCAAAGCATTACAGTCCAGGAAAGTTGGGCCAGTCCTTGGTCCAAAGAATCTGTGCTAAAAGTAAACATTTAAAGATGCAAGCTGGTGGGAGGCAAACAAAAGTGTGGGTGAAGAGTCAAGCTGTACTCTAGCGAGGGGTATATGAAATTTAGAGACAGAGTTAAGGATAGAAAATTTGCCACCTCTACATTTAAAAACTCCTTAACTATGCCCACTCTTCCCATCTCCAACCAAGGTTAGTAATAAGTAGAGTTCAGCCACACAATAACATCTGGAAGATTATGACATCATTTCAGTGAATGATGATACAAATTGGATTATTAATATATTATTCGTCTGAAGTACAAAGCTGAAACATTAAGCTTTGATTCATGATTAACAGAGAAACTGTAGCCTCCATCTGTTGTGCAAATATGCTCAGATATTTGTGGAAGAATATTACCAGTTGCAAAAATCAAAAACATTTCCAAAACTTAAGGAAAATAAGAGCTGTCATAATATGTCTTAATTTGACACTGATTCAACTTTGAAAGTCATACCAATAAGCATGCAATCAGTCATTTGATTTGATGCAACTGAAATCATTAGCACTGTATTTCTTGGGGTAGATAGTTTACTTGAGAAACAAAGAAAGTCCCTTGGACCATTGTGCCTCAAGAGATTCTGGATACAGAGCACAAGATAGTTTAGTTTGTACAGCTGTCTGAGAGTCATGATCAGCTGAACGCTGTTAAAAAAACTCCATTTGTGAGCGCTGCTGAAAGGAAATGTTGCATTCTTTCCGTTCCATTTCCGTAGACTCAATGCCTCTGAACGATCAACACTAATAGGCTTACGCCAAAAGGCCAACTACTTGACTCAGAGTGAGACATAATATTTTTGCACTGAACTGTATCTGTATTTGACCAATTTGGTTATTAGGCCTGAAACACAGTCATTTCCCCAGAGTTGCTTTGAACTTTCCACCTAGACAGACCTGACAAACCTTGTTATTGTAGCATTTCTCTTGTGAATACTTCAGAAACCTATTTTGTTATTCTTTCTGAGAAATCAGCTGCTGATTTTCAGTGAATGAAGGGGTAAGTTTCTAAAGAAACTGTGGTGCTGCGTCGGTGGGAGAGTATAGCAGGTAATTTAGTGTTAACAACTGGGTTGAAAACGTAAATTAGCCACCGTAAAGAGTAAAAAAGCTGACGTTTCGAGCGTTAGCCCTTCGTCAGAGCGATTTACGGTGGCTAATTTACGTTTTCAACCCAGTTGTTAACACTAAATTACCTTTTTAAGCAAATGAAGATCATCGCAGTATATACTCAACTTTAACCGTATGAAAATGTCGGAGAGAGCGAAGAGATCCTCAAACCTTCTTATTATTAGCTTGGAACCGGATAAAGTTTGGGACTAACCTTTTGAGTGAGTCAACAGCTCTAAAATAGCCCTGCTAGGAATAGATTCAGTAGTTTCTCGATCAATTCACAACACTCCTCACGATGCGTCGATGTGTAGGTTTAAATATGTAGAAGCCTTGAAACGCTTTGTCCCTTTGTGCGCTTACCAATCAAGAAATAAGCAGTAACAAGCTCAAATAGGCGTTGTTCGGTGAACCCCATTGTTAATATTTTCCTCAAGAAGACGTTTTATTGTCGTCCGGTTTCGTTTTCTTTCCTGAAATGTCTCAGGCGCTACAGCCGTGTTGCACGGTAAGGGGTTTGTCCCGTCATTTCCGTTTTCAATCATCAATCAAAACTGCACTCAAAATTAATTCATGTAACAGTAGTTAAAGGTCGTGAATGATTGGAATGCTTCCTAATTTTAAGACCTATTGTGTAGAGTTTTCTTCGGCACTACCCGTCTTTTCACTGGGAAATTTTCTTGAGAAGTGACACAATATATTGTCTTGGAGAAAGGTTTCTTTATGGTTCGATTCCGGGAAATGTAACACAAGGGAATAATCCAATTGTTTTCAGGTTATGCGAGGTTATATTTAGCTGAAGGTGCTTTACGTCAAATTGACGTTTGTTATTGTTCTAAGTTAATGAGTATTTAGATGTCAGTAGTTCTGAGTAACACTTTAGCCACCACAGCATTTACTTATAAATGTTGTGGATGATGCGAAATAAATATCAAATCAAGTGGAATAATTCAAATAGACCTTGAGTCAGTAAGTACTTTTGATAAAACTCAAGCAGTCAGTTACGAAGTTAGCGTTACAAGCGGAAAAAATCAATTCAATTCAGGCACTGAATTCTGGGAAAGAGAACAAAGAAACTTTTTTCCCTTTTAGTTGCCGGCTTCCACGAACAATATCACGTACGAAATCCAATTTATCCGAGCCAGAGAACGAAAACTTCGATGGAAAATGAGTTTTCATGCACGACGTACATAGTACCAAGAATCCTAGAAATGTAGAGCGTTACAAGTTTTAAATACTTAGAAGACGTGTAAAACAACTAAATGTTTTCTCGGTTTTCTCGCCCTCAAGACAGATGAATTGACCGGAAAGGTCTACGTAATACAAAAATTTTTAAGATTTTTACACAATTCGTTTCAGAGTACGTACTGTGCGTGCTATATCATGGCAGTGAAACAAGGATTGCAAGTAATAAATAACTCCATAGAATTACGCAAAATCGTGCTAAATAAGTATTGCAATAAAAAATTCAGACAGTGTCAAAAATAACGAGAGCATAGTTTCAAGTTAACCGTCTGTTGGGGCAGAGGTCTGTTTGGGTCTGGAGTGCGACCGCGACCACAAACACGAACACCGCTAACACGAGTTTCTGCGCGGCTTTCCTCTTGAAAGATCGCATAGACCATCATTCATACCAGTGATATCTCATCGCTTCTTAGCAATGACACCGAGAAACAGTTCGGCTACATGATGAGATTAATAGAAGATGATATTTGAAGAGAAGACAAACAGATGCCACAAAGATACGATAGCGTGAATGCATTTGATCCTATAGAAATGAGAATATGAAAATTGATTTTTTCACAACTT